TGGAAGCAAGCATCACCTTGATCCCCAAAGCAGAGAAAGACCCAACTGAAAAAGAGAACTATAGGCCAATCTCACTAATGGACATAGATGCAAAAATCCTTAATAAGATTCTGGCAAATAGAATGCAGAAGATCCTCAAGAAGATCATACACCCTGAGCAAGTGGGATTCATCCCAAGGATACAGGGATGCTTTAACATACGCAAATCAATCAATAGAGCCAAGGACAAAAAACATATGATAATCTCGGTAGATGCAGAAAAAGCATTTGACAAAATCCAACACGCATCTATGATAAAAACCCTACAAAAAATTGGTATATATGGTCTCTACCGCAATCTCACAAAAGCCATCTATGAAAAACCAACAGCCAATATCATACTAAATGGTCAAAAACTGAAATCTTTCACACTAAAATCAGGAACAAGACAAGGATGTTCACTGTTACAACTCTTGTTCAATATGGTTTTGGAAACATGTGCCATGGAAATTAGACAAGAGAAAGAAATAAAAGGAATAAAGGTAGGAAATGAAGTCAAATTGTCATTATTTGCAGATGACATGATACTCTATATTGAAGATCCCAAGAACTCCACCAAAAGTCTTCTAGATTTAATAACCAAATTCAGTAAAGTAGCTGAATACAAGGTCAACACAAAAAACTCAATAGCTTCTCTGTACACAAACAAAAGACTCCCTGAGAGAGAAATAGGGCAAACAATTCCTTTCACAATAGCATCCAAAAACTGAAATATGAGGAATCAACCTAACAAAAGAAATCAAAACCCTCTTCTCTGAAAACTATAGCTCTCTGAAAAGAGAGATTGAAGATGATATCAGAAAATGGAAAGACGTCCCTTGCTTCTGGGTAGGAAGAATCAACATAGTGAAAATGGCCATACTTCCAAAATTGCTATGTAGATTCAATGCAATCTCAATGGAGATACCAGCAGCATACTCCAAAGACCTTGAGAAAACAATGCAAAAATTCATTTGGAACAAAAAGAGGCCGAGAATAGCAAAAGCAATTCTAGGTAACAGAGAAATGGCAGGGGGTATCACAACCCCCAACTTGAAACTATACTACAAAGATACTGTGATAAAAACAGCATGGTACTGGCAAAGAAACAAACCTGAGGACCAGTGCAACAGAATAGAAGGTGCAGAAACAGCTCCAGACACACTCAGCTACCTCATCTTCAACAAAGGAGCCAAACACCCTCACTGGAGGAATGTTAGCCTTTTTAATAAATGGTGCTGGGAAAACTGGGTTTCAACTTGCCAAAGATTAAAACTAGACCCATATCTCTCAAAATGTACTAAACTAAAATTGAAATGGATCAAAGATCTAAATATTAAAATAGAAATGCTGAACCGGCTGGAACAGAGGTTAGGTAGAACTCTTGATGACATTGGTGTAAGAAAAGATTTTATGAACAAAACCTCAGTTGCCCGTGAACTAGCACAAACAATCAACAAGTGGGATCTCTTCCTATTAAAAAGTTTCTGCACAGCAAGAGAAACCACCAGCAGTGTGAAGAGACAACTCACAATGCAGGAAAAAATTTTCACCTGCTGTTCCTCAGCAAAGGTCTACTATCTCAAATCTATTAAGAACTTTAAAATATCAGACCTCCCAAATTTAAAGACCCAATCCAAAAATGGCCATCTGAAATGAACAGATATTTCTCAGACAAAGAAGTAGAAATAGCAAATAAATACATGATAAAATGTTCAACATCACTGGTCATTTGAGAGATGTAGATGAAAACAACGCTGAGATTCCACCTCACTCCAGAAAGAATGACTGCTATCATGAAATCAACCAACAACAAACGCTGGCGGGGAAAGAGGAATACTGCTCCACTGCTGGTGGGAGTGTAGACTGATGCAACCACTGTGGAAATCACTATGGAGATACCTCAAAGAATTAGGACTGGAAGTCCCATTTTACCCAGCTATTCCCCTGCTGGGTATCTTCCCAAAAGAATTAAAAGAATCATACCACAGCGATATATGTACACCCATGTTCATAGCAGCACAGTTTGTAATAGCTAAGACTTGGAAGCAGCTCAAATGCCCATCAACTGGAGACTGGATAAAGAAAATGTGGTTTTTTTATAAAATGGAGTACTACTCAGCTATAAAAAATGAGAAATTAGAGACATTTATAGCTAAATGGATGCACATTGAGGTAATACTCTTATGTGAAATAAATAGGACACACATGTATAAATACCGAATTGTTTCTCTAGAGTGAGAAACTGAAAGTGTAAATAAGTTCTAAATGGTATAATAGATAATGTGAAATAGGAAGAAAAGGATCATAGGGGAAGGGGAAGTGGGAGGGGTGGGGAAAAGGAAAGAAGGGAATGGAATTAATATGAGAAAATGAAAAAATACAAAATCTTTGTAAATAGGGAGCGATGGAGGGATTTAGGGAGGGCAGGGGAAGGGGGAAAAATAAGAGCCAAGAGTGCTTATGTAAAGGTGCAAATTTTCAATGATGAATGTCATTATATTGTATACCTAAATTATACCAATAAAATAAATTTTTTTTAAAAATCCATGAGCAACTCTTGGTGTCTCTACCTTTAAAGCAAATCCAAACTCAAACAGTCCTCTCCTCATCTCTACTGCAGTCATATTGACCCACAGCTTTCTTAGATTATAATAACCTTCTGCCTGCTGTTTTCTACTTTGTCTCTTCTCAATCCAAGTGACAGGGTGTTATTTCAAAACTGAAGTCAGATGATGTCACTCTCGCTCACCATCCTCCTTCTCCCTCCAGATTATTTGTCTGATAAGCTTTGCCTAAACAACTAGTTATGAACCAAAAGAGGAAGTGAAATGCTGGATGCTGGTGCTCACGGATCACTAGGAAGTCCATGTGTGTGTGTGTGTGTGTGTGGCTTCAGTCTGGGACTTGTCCAGATCAAAAACCTGTTCGTTTTTGTCTACAAAATGTTCATCTGCTCTGATGACAGTAAAATATTTTACTCTTTTTCTTTCTTTGGCTAATTCTCTTGGACCTACTACTTAATTAGTTGGTCATTGCAGTGATTCATACTAATTATGTAAGTAGTTCTCCATTTTCTAAATAATTAAGGGCTACACATTTGCAATAAATGTTACAATATACCAGGCTACTAGTTCAGCCGCACTTTCATTCATATAAACTCATTTTGACTTCATGATATTAGTAAATATATTTGCATTTTCTCACTGGTTATTATGGTCTCTGTAGCATGAACTCAACTGAGTATCAAAAGACTCTTAAGAGATAGCTATTGTTAGCCACAAATTTTAGACCAGCAAATTGAAGTCTAGAGAAGTAACTTTCCCACGTGATACATGAGAGTAAAACTACATTCACGCCCCGATCTGTCTACACAAAGCCTGACTTTTTTGAGACGGCACTGTCGCACGCCGAGATGGAAGAATTGTAGCACAGTGCATTCAAAAGCATGAGCCCTGGAGTCAGCTCCGGCCAGTTTGCATCCTGCCTGTGCTACCATGTAACTTCTTGTTATTTTTCTTTTTGAGCCTCGATTTCTTTTCTGAAAGTGGAAGTAATAATACCTGCCGTCAGCACTGTGAGGATGGAGTGAGATAAAGTGGGTAAAAGTGTAAAACATCTTAGCTATTATTACTCCTGATTTGATAGGAAGGAAGAAGAAACAGTGAGATTAAGTGCCTTAATCAAAGCTGATGCCTCCTTGTGGAAGAGTCAAGAAGTATCTATGTCCGTGGAATTCCTGATGTTCCATTTTAGGTTCACTGAAAGGGTGATTTCACTTGGTTCAATGTAACAGGGCTTCTGTCCCAGGTCTTGTGCCTGTAAACTGAATCATAAATCAGCATTTGAGAGGTATGCTGTTGTCAGCTTTTAATGATCTTGCCTTGAAGATCCATCTCTTGAGAATACATACCTGTCAGGGACAGTGGGAAGAGAGAATCCTCGGTACTTCTAAAGGTCAATGTCACCACAGGTTTAGCTGCTTAAAGCAAGGCATTTATAACTCCCAATTTCTGTGAGCCAGGATTCCAGGCATAGCTTAGTGGAGGTGTCTGGTTAGGATCTCATGAGGATGCAGTTAAGTATCACCTAGGGCCGACACCTTACCTCACTTTCGGTTGAGAAAGATCTGCTTTCAACCTCATCCAGGCTGCAGGCAGAAGTCAGTTCCCTGTGGTTGTAGGACTGATAGCTTCCGCTTCTTTCTGGTTGTTGCCTGAGGGTAAAATAGTTCCTTGCCACTTGAGGTTTCCCAACTTGGATTCTTCAAAGCAAGCAAGGGAGGAAGGGAGGGAGACAGGTTCTAAACTTTTCTGTAATTAATCCTCTAATCACTCACATGCAATCACTCACCCCCCATCGCCCCAGCCATATTGTGTTGGTTAGAAGTCCCACATCCTACCCACATCCAAGAGGAGGGCGCTACACAAGAGAAACAGTGATCTTAGGGACAACTGAAAATCGGGTCTAGCATGAAAAGCATGATGGCAGACATCCATGGGGAAGAGATGGTGATGATAAATGACTGTACCAATCAATATTTTTTAATCAGTAGTAAAAAAAGTCAGCCTCCAGCTTACTGTACATTACCTACTTTTGTCACTGGCCTGGCAAGACTGGTAAACAAAACAGCATATTCAAGATGGGGGTTGGAACTTCGAAAGCTCTACACTTAAGACTTGCATGCTTTGGAGGCCAGGGATTTAGCTCAGTGGTTCTGCCACCTGCCTGCCTCCCAAGCGCAAGGACCCGAGTTTGATCTCCGGTACCAAAAAAAAAAACACTTGTGTGCTTTGGATACATTATAACTCAATAAAATACTTGTAGAGTTTTTACTATTTCTTACAATTTATTCTGAAATAGCCATAATTTATTTTATCCTATGAATTGTACGCTGATAGCATAGCCTAATTTTTAGCACTATTAGAAGACTATTTTTTTGTTTTAAATAACAAAAGAAACTCTAATTTATTCTCTTTCAACCAAAACAAAACAAAAATCTCAATTTTAACATATTGTTATTCCCTGAAGAGACTGGAAAAGTCAAGCATGGTTGTTTCATTTTAATGCTTCATCTTCTAAATAAGCTGACAAAGAAATGACATACTTCAATTGAATTTATCAAATGTTTATTATTTTTGGTACCAGTTATTTGAGATAATTATGGCTCTATAATTCCATAAACATGTTCTGATGTAAACAACTGTGAAAATTGCATTTTTGAATGCTCCAACTGTGCCCACAACATAATCAGGAGCAGTAATTTATTACTCAGACTAATAATTAGAAGTAATTAACTACTAGAAGCAATTAGGAATAGTAATTTATTTCCTAACATAATGTAATGAGCTGCTTTTTCAAAGTATGTTTGAATATTTAGCAACCAGTAATTACTTTTAGAGGAAAGAAAGAAATGTGCTATTTAGTTAACAATCTTAGATGCCTGATGTGAGAGTTTGCTGGCCCATGAACACGGGGGTGTGAGAAGTCATTGGGTAGAATGAGTTAAAGCATACTCAAAAAGAGATTGTCCCTGGATTTCATATTTCTTTAATTACTGACTATTTATGGAATATCTACAATTGTGTTATCTATGTTAGGCACTGGTGATGTAAAAGTGAACATGATCAATAACAGCTCCTCCCTGAGCAAAAGTCATATCTTGGAGAAAGAGACAGGCAAGGGTTCTCGGCATGATGGGAAAGTCAAGGTGTTAGAAGAATGCAGCGTGGAGCAAGGGATTTTTGTTTGGTTTTAATCCTGCGTTCTGTGGCCAGTAAACCAAGGTGCCAATTAGATGGTGGAGGGGAAGGAATCTCTTGGCTCTGGCAAGGACAGTGAAAGCCCCTGGGTGAGCATGGGCTGGGCGCCTCCAATCAGCTAAGGAAAGACCTGGAGGCAGAGAACAAAGGAAAAAGTTGATGGCACTATGGGCCCTGCCTGTGTAGCCACAGCAGCCATGTTGCAGACTGCAGTCTTTGCCCTAAAAACAGTGCAGGACCATTGAGGGACTCTACACTAGTGGATGACACACTAGGATCTGTCTTTTTAATGATCATTCTGGCAGCTGTTTGAAGGTAAAATGAAGAAAAGTGAGTGAGGAAGCAGGAAAGCGAATGAGCATGCTAATGAGTGGCCATCACACTGATGCAGGCTGGAGAAATACCATCTGAATCATGGGTATTTAGGCGTACAACTGAGAGGACTCGATGGATGGATAAAATGATGACAGAAAGAGAAAGAAAATGACTGCTACAAATGATTAGATGTAAAATCATGAATTGATCCAAGGAATACAAGATTAGGGTCAAATTGCAGGTTTCGTTGTGCTGTGTTTTGGGACTCCCCAAGCTAGAGGTAGCCATGAGACCTGAAAGGCAGAAGTATGCATCTGTTTGGAGTTCAGACAACACACTTCAGCTAAGGGTATATATTTTTGGTTCCATCAACCTAAAAAAGAAAATCTGTTCGAAAGAGGATTAAGAATAAGGAGAAAATTTAGTCTAGACTTGAGCTTGGAGAAACTTCAACGCTTAAACACTATGCATCCTTCCCCAAACCACCACAGTTTTCTTCAGAATGCCCAAGGTATATTCATGCACTGATAATTTTTCCCCTTCACTCCCTTCATAATATCCCTCTACCAACAAGCTTTTCTTTTCTTTTTTTCTTAAACAAGCTTTTCAAAGGCAGCATTCTTTGCTGTCACTGCTACTGGTACCCCATTCCCCATTAGAAGACAACATGACTTTTCTTCCTAGAGCCTTCTATTGTTCCCAACACTGCAGTGTTGGAGGGTAATCTGTGTTCATTTATCCACCCTGACCTTGCACAGAGATCCCTCTGCAGCTCTGGGTGCGTATTCTCTTTGACAGGATCTACCCAAGGGTCAGGCACTGTCCTCGTGGTAGGCTTGGGGGATGGATGCCTACTAGGATCCCTAACGTCTGTCCTCTCAATTATCTGAAAGCAATCCACTCACAGCCTTTGTGCCCACTGGAACCTGGAGTGCGAATGTGGGTATGCTGATAGTGCACTGCCTGATATCAGCCTGTACAGCCCAGTTTTGTTTCTGCTACATTACTGTTCACTAAAAAGCCAGTGGCAATACTCTGGTCTGAAACTAATAGCAACTAAGTCAACAGACATTCCTTTAATGTTTGCAGTTTGTGAAGTCAACATACTTTATCTTATTCGATTTTCATTACAATCCAATGAGGTATGTGTCATTAAGAGTGAGTGACCTAAAAGGCCCCAAGAGGTTACCTTGATTACTAGAATGGGTGCCGGAACAGTAATTGAAAATCATATCTTATAACTGAATTTTGGACAATTACTATAGAAGGCTCAAAACTGTTCAGGCTAGAAGGACCCTGACAGATTCTATAGGTTTATGTCACTACAACATGTGACGTCTGACAGCATTGTCCAGAGCTAAATGAACCTAAGAAAAGTTTTGATCACATTAAATTATTTTTAAAGTTTCATAATGCAGTGGCAAAGTCATAATTCCAGAAAAAAAATGTCATGGAGAGAGTAAGCATTATGAATTCAAAGACAAAAATACAAGGGAAAAGCAAATTATCTGAATCTCTGTTTGATAGTGCATCATTAAGTGAGTAAACAAATGTGAGCTCTGTTTGCAATGTAGGGGCCATCGCCAAAAACAGAACTACCTGGGATAGGTACCAAAGTGCAGACTCTCTGGCTTTGGAAATAAGACCAAGAAATGTGAATTTTTAAAAATGTGTTCAGTGGGCCAGGGATTTAGCTCAGTGGTTTCCACACCTGCCTCGCAAGCACAAGGTCCTGAGATCGATCCCTAGAACAACAACAAAAAAGAAAAAAATGTGTTCAGTGATTCTTTTGCACCCTAAAGTTAGAAGATTACTGAAATAGTCAGAAAACAGTTTATTAGCTCCTTAGCCGAAAATGAGGACATGGACATCACTGTGAGCAAGATGAACCCTGTTTTCTTTGAACAGTATAATGAGGTTCACAGGCTGTGCACCCCAGAGCCCCAGAGAAACTTGAGTCAACAGACATGGTACTGAGAGAGAGAACCAGATCTGGTGATGGAAATTTTGTTTGTATTTTCCCACGTCCTTGAGAAAGTCACTTAAATCCTGAGCCTCTGTTTCCTTATCTAAAATGATGAAACAAATTTCAGACTTCTAAGGTTATTTTAGGCATTAAGTAAGAGTCAGAGGATGCAACTTTGAAGAAGGTAAAACTCCAGTCGTAGAAAAGCTAAGTGACTGTTGTTGGGTTGATGTTTTCATGGTTTCCTGCTCACGCATCACTACTAAATAGCCATGAGCATGGACAAGTGGAGTTCTCAATGTCCTAAAAGGTCAGTTCCCTTTTTAGTTTTGCTGCAAATATGGAAGGCTGCAGGATATAAGTATAGATGTTTCTAGGGAAAGGGATCAGGCAGTATCATTCCTCAGAATTTTCCCTGCTTTTTATCCTTTGGCTCCAAATCTGGTTCTATCCCACTACCATCCCTCCTTCATATAACAATAAATTGTTCTCTGAAAAGCAAAAGATGATGTTTATGTATTTTCTGCATGATTTTCTGGTTCTCATGAAATGCTTTTTAATTATATTATTGTATTCTCTGTGGACTCTTAGGCATATAACACAATGAAGTTGATTTTACTACTGGAACCTTATCTCAATTAAATGAGAAATATCATTAATTTATCCCATCTTGGACTAGCATTCACTTCCTTTTCACCCATCCAGTGTTTCATCTTGTCTTCAAAATATCTGTATCTGCTCCTCCATTTCTGTGGCCAGTCAGTAAGCATTTACCTATATCAAATCTTGCTTCTGATGGTAACTGAATTATTTCCCCCAATGAATTCCTATATCTTCTTCCACTATCCGTTCTTGGCACTAAAAATTAATTTAATGGACTTAATGCAGAATGAGTTTAATTTCCTAGGGACACAATAAACATTACAGTATGTGATTATATGGATCTTAAGAACCAAAGAGTTGTAAAAAACTAAAAATATAGGAGAAGGGGAAGAAAGAAGAAAATAATTTGCCTCTGCCAAACACCTTCAACATGAAAAGCACCAGGCTAAGCACTTTATACTCATTGCTTTATTTAACTGAAACTGCTTTCTCTCCATGGTGTTGATCTTAATTTCTCCTAGCAGGTCCCTAGCTTTGGCTGAACCTACAGTAGAAATTTTATTTCTCTGGTAAATCCTTGCTAGGAATGGCAAAGGGATGTTTTAGACTGAAATTCTC